TGCTTAGGGATATGGTTTAGTGGTGGACTTGGCAGTGTTAGGTTTACTGTTGGACTCGATCTTCAAGGTCTTTTCCAACCTAAATAACTCTGTGATTCTTTTCTAACTCACACTTCTGAAATCTTAAGCATGGAAGATGCCCCACACTGAAAAACTACATCCCAACTCTAAGAAATGCTCACTTATTTTTTTTAAGAGGAGCATAGTTTCTAGAAAGGCAGGCAATGCTGAGCACCTCCCAGAAGTCTGCCCTGTGCTTGTGTCAAGGAATTTCATTCCTCCCCAGCAAACCATGCTCAGCAGTCTCAAAGACTGTTTCAAAACTAGCTTGCATGTCAGGATGTACAGGGTTGCTGTCGAAGCCCATGATCGCTCCATCACATAACTGGGTACCGAGTCACCAGCCGGCTGCAGCAACTATTAAGACACATGTGAGTGTTTCACAGCCAATCATCTGCTTATATTCACTACTGATGCCATAAATATGTAAACTAGTAACAACAACTACAAAAGCCTTCAAGTCCGAGACCGGGGAAACGCCGCTGATATAAGGTGAAAAGCACATTTCAGTCGCAGTAAGGTGCTGGCGGGGTACCTTTCCTTCCTATCACAAGCCTTTTGCGTAACAGGAATGAAAATACCGCCCACTGCACAGCGTAAGCTGGGAATCCTCACATGGCAGATACTAATTTGGGGACTAAGTGCATATACAGGGACCTTACCAGGCTTCTGGGCCTGATTTTGGAAAACCGTGTTTAACGATACCGCGAGCCCGCCTGAGCAGCGCAGCCTTTTACACGGTACTGAACAGCCGATGACACCGCACCCTGCGCCAACGTCGGGCACCGAGAGCGCTGCCAGCGCCGCGGCAAGCTGGCATGTAAGCACCTGGCCGAGAGTCACCGGGGTCTGCTCCCACCTCACCCGATGAGCCACGTTAACAATTTCTCATAGAAATGCCTCAGGTTGTTACAGTGCTGGCAGAGCAGCACATAAAGGCACCAAGACTGTGTGTGTGTATATATATCTATATATAGATATATAGATAGATTTTTTTTTTTTTTTACCATCAACAGGGGCATGAACTAGCTACATGCTATGATGTCCTGTCCCTCACCCCATTTATACGGTTACTTCAAGAGCTCCTGGAGGACGAGCAGGCTCAAAGGACAACAAACCAGTGAAGAATCAAATCTGAAGCAAACAATGAACCTTAGGTCACAACATATTAATTCTGTAAGCAAAAAATAACCAAACTGACAAAATGGAAGAGTAAGTGTTAACTTAGCAGCACAAGGAAGGGAGGCTAGAGATGCAGAAAGACCCTCTGAGCTTTCAGGCTCAGGTTCTAAGTTTTACAAAGCTGCAGTGTCAACTCCTTTGATATCATCATATTTCACATTTCCCTGAAGAATTTAGCCTCTGGAGTCATGACTTAATGAGAAGCAGCTTTTGTTTTAATGTATGTCTTCAGTTTCTTCTTAATTTTTTTAAAGACCTTATTAAGCACCTTGCCTACAGGAGACTATTAATCTCTTCATTCTGCAGGGTTTACTGTCATCACAGGCTCTTGGCCACACGCTTACTTAGATTGTCTGAACAGAACTTCAGCTGTTGTCTATGCTACAAGTTAAAGCTGAAACCTTCAAGTGCAGGTATAAACATCATAAAGTTACAGATGAAAAAATATGAACCGATTTCTTTACGGGACATTTCACTCTGTCTCATCTGCCTCCTCCTCAGATGCAAAAATAATAAACCCTATTAATTTAAATCTTATTTAGCTGTTCCATCTCTCCAGAATAATTGATTGGGCTTTAGACACTCTGCCAGAAAACATAATCAAATCAGGTTTGCCTGGTGATTGTGCCGCAATACAGTGTCAGAAAGCCGCGGTCCCCACACTTGCTCTAATTGATTAAAAGATTTGGTCACTTGCACATTTCCATTTAGACAATTAAGCTAAAGAGACACTACAAACACAGCGGGACAAGCCGAGAGCAATGACGGGGAGTGACAGACTATTTCTGTAGGGAGAATTATGACTTAGGGATGTTGCAGTAATTAAGGTGCGGGGTTTTCCGCCTCCCCGTGCTCTTGATGCAACAGCCTCAGGAGTTCAGCACAGCCCGACTGGTGCCTCGCGGGGGGAACCCCGGACAAACGGGCCGTCTGCTTTTCCTGTCCTCCAAAGAAGCTGCCACACCGTAAACCTGCACCACCAAACTCTCAGGCAGCTTCTCTGCAGAGGAGAGGCAGGGAAGCACGAGTAAGGGGCCACCGGCAAGCTTGGTATCCACCAGGGACGTACCGCTTCCAGGGACAGGGAGAAGGAAGGTCTCCAGTGCAGAGTCAAGCTACACCTTTTACAAAAGCCCTAACTTTGGGTGTCTTTGGATGCTGGCTCCACCCATGATTCCTGGTTGAGGGCCAAAATGTGTCAGTCACAACCAGCCAACTACGATGACATCCAATTCCCCAAGAAAGCAGCTGATCTACAGCATTTCTTGCCAGAGTGAGGAAGAGAAAACAAACAGGTTCCTTGGCCTTTTCCTCAGCGATCCTGGGAGAGCTGCAGTGGTTATGCAGTTGGAAACACTGGCAGACTCTACAAATGTCAAAATCCTGAAAGAAGATATCAAGAAAAAAAAGAAAGAATCACAGTGGTCTTAACTGCAACTTAGAGTGCAGAGCTGCACAGCGAGACCAGCAAGGCATAAAACCTGTATTAAAAACATTTTGCCAACAGTACATCAAAACTAGCTCTTCATATGTCTCTAACAGCACAGATGGTAACTGCTAATAAGAGGGTAACGTGCTTATCCTACCCAGCCACCAGTGCCTGTGATTCTGCATTTAGTCTCACATGATTAAGAATCTGCAAGGCATGGTGGGTTTAAAAGTTAAAAAAAATAAATAGATAGATAGATAGTCCTGGCTGCAGGGTTTGTGAACTGTGCCAACATGCAGCTGGTAGGGAGGACAGTGGGCATGGAAGTCTCCTCTTCCTACACCAAACTAACCTGACCTGGCACAGCTCACAACTGCACGAAAGCTTTAGCAGCCCAAGCACTGAAAAAGCAACCAAAGCAGAGAAAGCTTCGTTCAGTTCTGCTTTATGTCAAGCTTAAGGTGTACATAAAGCGAGCCTTGGGATGAGTCTCAAACTGAGCCTTAAGTCTTCCGACTCAGTCGAGGTCGGAGAAGAGAAGACAGACAGTACACAGTCCGCATGGAAAAGTCCAACAACTGCAACCCACTTCAGCCCCAGAAGGTAAATAAATGTCAACATTTTTCAGCAGTCCCCTGAAAAGCTCTTTCCTTGCATTCAGGTTGTTACCATCAGTAAAATAAGCATTCTAGCATTAGTTATCATTAGGGCTACTGTTTCCAGGATTCCTCTTAGAAGTGACAAGTGACAGCTACAGAATGATGAGTTAGAGGCACATGGAATGTATCACACATGGCAATTTATCCCAATTACTGCACTTTCCAATTTACACTCGTTTGACTTCCCTGATTCAGTCCCATACTTCAGACACAGGCTGCTGCTGCTAAGAAATACCAGAGTTGGGCCATTTTGAAGGGGAACTGTGTTAAATGGTCTGCAGGGCAATACTAGGAACAAAATGCCTCATTCTGGTGATGTTATGGCTTTCTATTTGGTGTTTATGTACCTTCTGTGTAGGGACAGAGCGATAATATGCATGACAATCTTCTTCCTAGCAGTACAGTCACCACTGTGGAATTAAATGCACCACTGCGAGCCGATGCATTGGAAAAAGGAAGGAACAGTACATTTTTCTTCCCAGTCATTAGATTGCTCTGAAGAAAAGCAGCAAAATGTGCACATTAAACATGCCATTTGCTGTGTCCTTTCAAGCCAGAATACGATGAGAGCCCATCAAGAGCACCAATTAACATTTTGGTAGAGACTCCCAAATGCAAACTTCACAGGATGACCAGTGTCTAAGGCTAATACTGAACACTAGAATGGGAGACAGCTTCAAAGCGCCTTCAAAGTTATGGCAATCCTTTTGCACTGATACTGTCATTTAAATATTCTCATGAAATATTTGCATTATTAAAGCTTGAAGACTGTGAAAGACAGAAAATGGTACTCAGAGGAGTTTGGCTGGTTTTGCCTGGAAATATTGGGATGCTGGACACCCCGGCTTAGGGATGGAATGGGTGTTATTGGCAGCCAGCCCTCTGGGGTAGGCACAAATACCAAAGAAAGCGCAGCCCCCATGGTTTGAATTAGCTAGCAAGGTAGAAGACAAAAGAGCTCAAAGAATAACCTCCATGTCCTCCCACTCAGTACACTTTCACGTCAGTGCTTTTATTTCTGCTGAGCCTCTCAGTCTCTCTCACCGATCCCATCCCGCACTCCCCCGGCCTAGCAAAAACCTCCCTCGGAAATCCAGGCATGTCGGTGAGTAAGCGGTGCTGGAGCAGCTCACGGCTCAGATCCAGGCAAAGCTCATTTCCTTCAGAGAATTAACAGAGTAATTCCTCTGAGAAAAGGGGTCACTACTGACTAAAATGGAAAGTCATTTATTAGCTCCTGTTTCAGGAAGGCAACAGTTACTAAGTCATCACTTTTCACTCACTGAGAATGCAGCTGAATTGGTGGGGGTGACGGTACTTTAAATGAGAAAAATGGCCCAATTTCAAAAGAAAGATCCTCACATGGCTGAGCACCTTGGTGGCTTTGCCAGCCCATGTTCTCCAGAGCACCAGGAGCCATGGGGAGTCTCAGACAGTGATGTCCACAGGGAACCAAACCGCTGCGAGGTGCCTGGAGCAGGAGCAGTGGGAATCGCAGGGCGGTAGGTGGGGAGGTGTCTGTCCCCTGCCTCCCCGGTTCCAAACCCCTCCTCTCCCAACTTCCAAGTGAAAAGGGCACGCAAGTAACACTGCTCTAGATTTGAGGAACAGGAGAGGGGCAGAGTGGAACAGAGACCCCATCCCAAAGTACGGCTGCATCAGTATTTTACCTCCAGCAAAAGACGCATTTGTTTGCGCAAGCCAGGCTCGGCGTGGCCTCCATGCAGCGGTGGCTCTCAATTCCATAAAACGTGTGTTTGTAGCAGCCTCCTCTGCCTCGCAGCATCGACTAACAGCAGGGAAAGACACATACAAATAGCAAGAAAGTTAAACCACACCATCTGTAACCAAACTGAGTGCAAGGGTTTGAAATCTGCTCCCGGGGCACATCTGCAGTTTCCAGTCACTGGGAACTTTGGTGTTCAAAGTCACCTGTGACGGACGTTGCAAGCGAGGTCACGGCTGCAGAGCAAGTCTGAATAATGTCAGATGCAGAAAGAAATTCATAGCATGCACATCAGCATACAGTCTTTATATACACGTCCTTACAGAAACAAGGCATTTACGATGTCAAATTGACAGCTCTTTTAGATGAGAGAAACTTTAACATAATCAATAACTTCTTGCTTGCAGCACCACAGCATAACAACGTGCTTTCTGAAGCTTTTAACGGAATCAGCCAACAAAAGAAAGCAGGTGAAGCCACTTAAACTGCAAGAAATATTATTGCCCACTAAAAGCCCACTAAAGAGTAACAAGGATCAATTTCAAGGCTGCACTATTGAACACACAATTCTTTTCATTTCTCTAGCAGAGTATTTCTTCTAGCACTAAATTAAATAAATATCCTGACCTTACAAAACCCTCATTCACGCCAGTCAGCCGCTCCAGCAGGACACCGCGCTTTCCTTCCCAGCGGAAGCACAGCAGCCTTCCCACCAAAATATCTCCTACTTAACATGCAAGTTGCTTGGAGCAAAGACTATCTTTCATTATCTCAGTTAAGTAGTAAGTGAGAAAGAATCCTTACTACTCCCAAGAGCAAATTTGATATACGACATAGTAACTTTTCATCCAACTTCCTCTACCTGAAGAGTCCTGGTGATCCAAGAGAAAGTCTGCACTGAGCAGCTGGGAAAGAATACACAGGTAATGCCTAACATCTGCACAGCCTTGTTATACGGTTGGGAGATTAAACAAAATGGAAAATGCTGTTTATTCTACCCATCCCTCAAACAGTATAGATTTCAGGAGATTCACAAATTCTAGGAGAGCAAGTTACATTTTGGGTTTCTTAAGATAGGCAAATCAAAAGACTCTTCCTAAAATTTGCAGGTTTTATGCTCTTTTCCAGAATGACAGAACACAAACATTTTAGTCTGAGATATCGCTATGAAACTCTACTTAATACTAATCCTTCCAGCCCAGCTCCTGCTTTCCACTGATACAAATCTCAAACAAGCCTCCCAAAGATATTCACATATTGGTGTGAATCTGAGTCAAAGCCACTGCCTGTAACCAATTTCAGCCGAATTTATTAGAACACTTCACATTCAATTCTTGCTTAAGCTAAAAATAGTATGGTCCTTTCTAAGCACACAGAGCTGCTATTTATTTTGCGAGAGTGGCTTTACAGTGCTGCATTAAATTCCAGTTCTTTAATAAAAATAGGTTCTCTGGTTTTCTCGCTGAGACACAGCACTGAAGTTTGACAAATTTTTCTTTAAACATTTCATGGACTTTTCTGATGCTTAAAAGTGACAGAAGAGAGAAATATTTGTAAGACTAAACAGCAGAAGCATCAGTGAGATCAGTACGCCTCACAAATATTCATGACAATACAGAGGTGGGCTCTTTAAACTGTTCACAAGAACAAGTCTTTTGATGAGACAGTTCATTGATACCAGGCATTTCAATAAGAAAACCTGGCTGCAGCAACCCTGCTTTGGTGATTGCCATTCAAAGGGGTCTTTTCAAAAATAAACAAAGTTAATCATGCAGCAAGAGAGCGCTGAGAGACCAAGGAACTGATCACTGCCACAGCGCGAGAATGAGAGATGCGCTGGCATTTTAACGAGGTGACGATTCCCATAGTTTATCATCCTGTGAATACTGAAGGCTTTAGTATGTTATATCAATGTTACTCCCCAAATGTCTAATGTTATAGACCAGCTTTCAACCGCTGAGCTTCTCGGGGACCTGCAAGGGACAACAAACATACTAAAGCAGCGGAAATTTGTTCTACAGGGCTCTGTGCCTCCCCACGGGGAACATTTTTAAGTCTGCAAACAAACTACTTGAAAAGCTACTGGTTTAAATAGCCTATGCCACACAACTGTAGGGCTTGGAGGATGACTTTTACATACATATGTATATATATACACACACACATATATATATAAAAAATCATGTGTATGTACACATATATATACATACACACATAAATACAGACACACTCCCACAGAGTAATTTTTTTAAAAAGTCCTAGCACAAACAAGCGACAGTTACCTTGCTACCTAATCTTACTTGACAAACGCAGAAAGCCAGTGGAGGAGCACTGTCAGTCGCAAACCAGATATATCGGTCACCAAACAACAGCTGTAAATGCCCTTGCGTGCCCGTTCGGGTGTAATGACGGACCGCGTTATCTTTGTTTCAGAAGACCTCACACCAGTGACGCAACCTTCCCGCTTTTCTCTGCGGTGTCCTCCCCCTGCCATATTTCAGGAGGCAGGAGCTATTTTAGCAGACAGCAGAATAACAGCAAAAACCAACAGAAAATGATGTTCCCAGCTCTTCGCCACAGTCACATGCATTCTCACTTTTCGCAGCAGGATTTTAATAGCTTGAAATGCAAAACCACAGCTTGGAAGATGAATTTTTTTTCATGCAAGTAATACCACATTTTTCAAGGATATTTCATCTGGAAATTGTAATACCTGAGTAAGTCTCTAGCTTTTTTTATTTATAAAAAAAGCATACCTTTGTCCACCGACAGAGCTTCACCCCAGAATGGCTTCCAATCAGTTTGTAACCTGAAAACAAGCGAACAAACAAAATGAAACCATTTATTTTAACCTGCAATAATTGATAAACAAAACATACCAATTAGTACACAAAATTATTAAGCACCACAGTCCCAGTGCTGCTCTTGCCCATCGGCCCAAAAGTGACACTACCAACAAGCCGTGAGTGCCCACCCACAGCACTCTCCATTTGATCCTGGGAGCCTGCACGAGAGCAAAGGCCATGGCCACCCAAGGAACTTTGGCCAACTGGAAACTGTTTCTCTTAATGGGAGATTTATTTATATTACTCGGCCTTGTTTGAATCAGGAGGGGGTGGCCAGAAGACTTCTCCATGTAACAGGATGGCAGACTAGCAGGTCTAGCCCAGCGACATGGGACATCTCACTGACCCCAAGGGACAGCACATGGGAGGGGGCAGGACTGGGAACCAGAAGCATCTCCCTGGCCCAAAGCCATTAGCCTAGGACAGACTCTTCCCCAGAACCAAGACAACTCAATTCCCACTGCTCCTTGGCAGGACTGACCGAGCCTGAAGGACATCATCTGATTCACAGTGCAGCTGCGAGGGCAGAGCAACAGAACCGAAACAGAGGTTCAGCCTGACCCCAAACTTCCCAGGTTCACCAATTCCACCTCCACTGGCCATGGTGGAGCCACAGTGAGGGAGCCGCTCCTCCGTGCCCAGAGGAAAGCTGATTTCACTTCACTTCCCCGTTCCCCAGCCAAGATCAACACAATTTCATTTAATTTTGTTGGTCCAGGAGGATTAATTCCACAACGTTCGTTAAGCACTAAGTACTATTGTTACTGAAACTGCTCGAGTTGGGTTATTTTCCTCTTTGAAAAAAGTGCTTAGAGACCAATACGTCTGAAGGATTAAAAGTCCCTTCAAAATGAGCATAAAAATAGGAGGGATTTGAGAAGCCTCACTGTGTCATTCACACAGTAGTGTTTATACGTCAATGGCCTGGTTGTCCCCAAACCCAGCACGTCTCAACTAGCCACTGTAGGCTGATGTTTATACTAACACTTTCACGGGGGAGGAATCAAATTTTAGGTATCAAGTCTCCTTCCTGCCAACCAGCAAGAACTTAACAGGGGAAAAAAAGCCTTCTGCTCAGCAGAAGAACTGGCCTTTACCTCCTGCAACAAAAAGTAGCACCATTACCCTGCCCTGCTCATTTGTCACCATGCATCTCTTGCACAGCAAGATCCCAGGGGAGTGGGATTGTGCCCCAAAGTCCCCCACACCTCCAAGGACACTGAGCCAGCCAGGAACTACAGTGACAGCAGATGCCACAGCAGTTGCACCAACTGAAAATTAAACCATGCAAAGAGACGTGGCTAACAAGGAATCATGCAGCACCTAGAGCACACTGCTCTAGTTACTCTGCCACTTAAACCCAGCAGACATCTACCCAGTCTCCTCTTTCCTCTTGACCTGATGTTTGCTCCTGCCTCCTCACACTGGTTCTAACCTTGCTGGGGGGTTAGGATACACACGATTTTAGCGTGATGGGTTCCCTGAGGTGACTCTCCAGGAGACTGTATGAACATTTGGGCCAGCACAGGGGAGATGGCTGGCAAGAACAAGCAGTGGGGATGCCCTGTTAGATGGCAAAGGGGCCAACTGCCAGATTAAGTGAGGCTTTGGGGACTTCAGCGTCAGGCTGCTCCCATGCCCTGAGCTCTCTCTCTCCCTCCAGCTCTGTGGGAATGGACAATATTTCAACATTTTCCTCCTTAAATGAATAACCCCCAATATAGCAAGGAAGAAGGAACTGCTGTAAGCCAAAAAGCCTTGGTATTTCACATAGCAGAGCGTCCAGTCCCTTCCTGGAGAAAGGCATCAGTGCAACCCTAATCATCACTTCTAACATGGGACTGATAGTCACCAAAGCCACACGCAATATTGGAGACACCTTTATCTGGGACTGGATGAGATCCAGAAGACCTTGTGGCAATTTCTGACTGACACTTGTCAGAGGCACAGCCTCTACACATGACTGCATTTGGCTGCATCACACCATCTCTCCCATCCTGGGTCTGTCCTGCCTATTCCTTCAGCATTTCTTCGCAAACAGGCTTGTCCAGCAAGGTCTAATCTCAACTGAGACCTCCCTGTGCTGCTAAAATTTGTGTCTTTACAGGATTTCTTGACAAGCGTTGAAAAATGTGCTGCATTCCTCCTCCCTCTAATACAGCTGTACAAGCCAGACTCTTCGCTGATGTCAACCGGCACAGTCCTAGCCTTACTTTTTCCATTTTTCAGAATCCAGCAAGAGCATGCATTTAAGATTATTCTCTCACAGATCACTTGTCAGTAGAAGTAATATGGCTGCTTTAAAATGGGTTTTAGATTAAAATTAAATTGGAAATAGGACATGCTTGCCCAGATCTGCTACCGAGTTGTTTGAGAGAAGAGAGGAAGCAGCTAAACTGAGAAAGGTGCCAAGCTCCGGAGCCCAAAGCTGCGGCATTTTCTCTTAAGTTACTTAAATCAACTTCCACCATGTGGAGCGCCCACAGCTTCCTTTAAAGGCCAAGAAAACTGTACACTTTCAACATCAAAACAGAGTCTTACAAACTTCAGCCAGCTTTAGTGACGAGAAGGGGTTTACTCATCTTATTTGCTGCTGCCAGGAGTCACAAGCTATGGTTACAGGAAGAAACAGCATATACTTGCAGAACGTCTTAAAACCACTGTATGAGGCTGCTGAACTCGGGTCTTCACCACGTCGGTAACTCTGCTAGAAAGTGTGGTTACCCTGCTAAGCCATCGCAGTGAACGCTGGCCATGCCACGCTTCCATGCTTTTTCAGACTTGGAAATCAGATAAAGTACCGGTGACTAAGGCCGAACACTTTTTACACATCTGCTTCAGGTGAGCAGAGTCTTCCCACCTCTGTAAAGCCTGTTTCTTCAAGCAGTTGCTTTACTGCCGGTTAGTAACACAGGCAGCAAACCCATTTGGGCAAACAGAAAGTACAAAGGGCTAAGCAAAGACCCAAGCAGTGCTAAGTTTGAACTCAAACATGTGAGAAAACGTGTTCAAGAACCAGTCTGAGGGTCTTCTCAGTTCTGTTTCCACAACACAGCTTCTGCTGAACAATCCTTTTGAAAGCTCAGGCAAGCCCATCTCTTCCATCAGCTCTGCCACAATTTCACTGTGGCTCTGCCAAAGCAAATGGTGGTTGAATCAAATCTTACTGATGGCCTACGTATGCCAGGACTCACCATGAACACATTCACTTCTTTGTTTTTAAGGCATATTACTTGTGAGCAATAACTTTAAGTGAATACTTGGATATACCACCTTCCACACAATACAGCATGTTGTCTGGACTGGCCTCTGCTCACAGTCCATACAGATGAAATTTTTCATAGTGAGGGTGGTGAAACCCAGGTTGCCCAGAGAGGTGGTCGATGTCCCATCCCTGGAAACATCCCAGGTCAGGTTGGACGAGGTTCTGAGCAACCTGCTCTAGTTAAAGAAGTCCTGGCTCATTGCAGGGGGGTTGGACTAGATGGCCTTGAAAGGTCCCTTCCAACCCAAACTATTCTATGATTCTATGTATCTTCAGATACTAAGGCTGAATAAAACCAATCCATTTATTATTTCTACAGCCTAATATTCAAAGAATTCCTTAAATTATAAGCACACTCATAGTAATCAGCTCAACTCCTGACTAAAGGCAGAAGAACATCTAATCTGAAGTCTGTGTGTTAGTTCATCCTGCTCTAGATGATAAATTTTGAATGACCTAGAAGCCTGCCAAACTTCACTGAAATTAAGTGTCATTTTTTACTACTACGGGACATGAATTAAGCTTCTAAACAAGCATTTGGGTGAAATGAGTGTTATCAGGCAATAACACTAGGCTGATAAACACTTGGTGATTGCTCACCCTGACAATCCAACTGGAGTTTAATAGAGCACAGACAGACTTTTAACCAAAGAGACGGCCAGTGTCACAGATGGTGACTGTTCCATTGTCTGGGGCAAAACTGTTCTGCAGCCATTTGAAACTACATTGCAGCATTTCAACTCTATCATGTAAATAATAGTTTTAAAAGTCCATTCTCTGAAATTCAAAGTATTCATTGAGCTCGTTTTACTGAGCTCTCAGCCACCGACACAGGACACTGCTACCTATACACCCATGTCATGTTCCAGGATCTTAAGGTATTCTGGTTGTGGTTTTGCTAGTTTACCAGTGCCATACTCATAACAAGTCTAAGCTCCTGAATGTGGATGAATTAGGTGCATATGTGAGCAATTATCTCATTTTCATTTTGAAAGCAGAACAGATAAATTTCTGCAAGTACAACTGTCCATATCAGCAGCAGTGTCATGGTATCTGCACAGTCTAAAAAAATGCATCTGTAATACATCCATACCAAACAGCTTTCAAAGACTGCTGACTATTCAGATGTGGCAAAACATCCAGAAGAAAACCCAAAGACACTTTCCAGTTCAGATCTCAACACCACCAAAAGCTTCCTTCAAAAGAAGACTTTGAAAGCACAAAGGGAAAGATTTAATTATGAAAGAATGAAGTAAATCAGTGGTTGAAAAATCCCGAAAAGGTACAAAAAAAAAAAAGACTTAGCTACCCTTCTCTAAAAGTGCAGTCACCATAAGCTTAGTAAAAGCCAATCTGATGTCACACTGTGCTTCATGAACTCAAGCGACTTTCCGAAGGCTTTTCTTCTGAGAAGAGTAATATACAGCTGGCAAATCAGTGCGGTTCTATCAAGCAATGTCCTTAAATAAAAGCCCTCTGGTTTGAAGCAATAATTATCCATTAAAGCTGCAACTCAGTGCAGAAAGGAGAACTTCACACTAGGAGAATGTTTACAGGGAAAAAAAGTTTCCAATTTCCTGCCACTTCGCAAGAGTGCAGTTTAAAAGGGCCAGAGCCGAAGGTCAGCGACACAGCAGTAATCCATCACCACCACTAAGGACCACTTCAAAGCCATAACACAACTGCTGCAGTTGAGTC